CAAACGTCATACCACACCTTTCCATCATCATCGATAGTGACGGAGCAAGGGGTTCAATGGGAGCAGAGTTACCTACAAGAAATTCGCACATACGAGTAACAATGCCATTCGGTGAATGCTACTGCCTCGTTCGAGATGTTCCCGAGTAAAGTCCCGTAGGCCTCGAACTCTTCTGCGGTGACGGTCAGTTTCCAGTCTGATATCACGTAATCAATGATCCACAAAAGGGCGAATAATGTTCCTCATTACTTATGAGTCTGAGAAATCCCTCCTCAAGGGAGTTAAGCTCAGCCAAGCGGATCCCTGCGAACTTTGCATAATTCGCATTGCTATAATAACAGTCATCATAGAACTTGATGGAGACCAGGAGTGCTGATAGTAGCAATCTAATAGAGCACCAAATTCAGAGAGAGTCCGCGCTGCGCACAGAGAAGGATACCTGTGAATACTGTATGAGTTGATCCTGAATGTTTCGCGCCGCCCTAGCTTAACTCTGTCGATGTAAATGAGAGCGATGATAAAGAAGATGGTAGAACACTGAGCAGGAAGAACTGCTAGTTTTAGCAGACAGAATAGGGGACACCTCATCGAGTAGTGATAGCAGTAGCAACGATAGCAGTAGTAACGATAGCAGTAGTAATAATAGTATTAGTAACAACAGCAGTAGTAACAATAGCAGTAGTAACTATAGTATTAGTAACAATAGCAGTAGCAACAATAGCAGTAGTAACAATAGCAGCAGCAACAGTAGCAGTAGTAACAATAGCAGTAGCAACAATAGCAGTAGTAACAATAGCAGCAGCAACAGTAGCAGTAGTAACAATAGCAGTAGCAACAATAGCAGTAGTAACAATAGCAGTAGTAACAATAGCAGTAGTAACAATAGCAGTACCAACAATAGCAGTAGCAACAATAGCAGTAGTAACAGTAGCAGTAGTAACAATAGCAGTACCAACAATAGCAGTAGTAACAATAGCAGTACCAACAATAGCAGTAGCAACAATAGCAGTAGTAACAATAGCAGTAGTAACAATAGCAGTGGTAATAGTAGTAGTGATAGTAATAGTAATAGTAGTAGGAGTAGTAGCAGTGATAGTGGGTATAGATACCTACATTAAATTTCCTAGCAAGACGTCTTAGATAAGTTCCCAAAGGGATAGTTGGCACATTGACAGCATGAAAGCGTGTAAGCACCCCTGGTCCAAAGACTTCTGACACCATCATCATTATCATCAGCATCATAGACATGGATACTTACCACCATCCGCCTCGCTCTGTTGAATAGTTATAGTCAACGCTGTGATGATTGCTGATAAGAATTTCACCTACACAATCTCGAGTGAACAATCTCGACTGAGTACCCAACACTTACCGCAGACGTCGGATTCATAATATTCTCCTTCGGGTCTCCATTTTCTTGTATGATGCGTTGTTGTTGATGATGATACCCATCATTCATAACCTCCACCTGGTAAGTCGTGCACGGGACTTCGCGATTACGAAACTTCAGCGATTGGCGCGTAACATCATCGCATGTAGTAGAGACATCAGATCGACCAGATCGCGGCGAGACTGATTGATCGGACGATGACGACAAAGACAGGACGAGAGGCATTCTCAGGACAATTCCTAGAAAATGTTATTCACGAACAACACCCTAACTAAACACATTCTTCATTGGTACAAGTAAATTCACTTATGCATGTCTCAGGAAACGGGGGAGCCTTCTGGGGGCAAGCCACTACACAGCCTTGTCCTAGTCGTACTGTAATCTAGTACAGGGATGATGAGAACGAACCGATACCTTCGTCTACAATATTTTCAATGCAAATTAATTTTTCACCCATTTCGTTGATGATTTACTTTTTTCGTGAACTTTTTCAAATACCAAAAATAGATTAGCATTATATCCGGTCGATTTAAAAGTCCAGGAGTTTCATTTAGCCACAGAAACAATTTTCAATCTCACGTCCTTCCGTCACAAAACACCAGATATAACACTGAGTTGTGCTTTTTCGCCAATACGACCAATACGCAGTGCGGCAAATGGATGATCGTTAAGGCCTTGAGAAAGATACCCCGCCTTAGTTTGAGTAACGCTATACAGCAGCCCAGATCCTCCCGCTGAGCTCGGAGGCATTTATAATACAGTTCGGGCAAACGAAGTATATCGGGAGAGTTAACGGAAATCGGCGATTGAATATATGCTCGCCTACCTCAGC